GGGGGGGAGAGGTGAGGGGTTACGAAGAGGATATTTAGGGAGAAGAATCGTCGAGCCACGTCTAGAGTCCTAAACCGAGGTCCAGTAGGGGACAACAAAAGTGGCGTGCGACCGAGCGTGAGCCACTATGCGGACATATAGCTGACGAACATGAGACTAAAGGGGCACCAACAGCCGGCCCGAGGTTGGAGGTAAAAGTGAAACCCGACAACCCCATCCTTGGCCAGAGAGAGAGATGTGCAGCGCGAGCTATCGCTTACAAGAACTCACTCAAGGGTTGAAAGTGGGCGGAAAAAGGCCTCGCGCCCCAGCTCTAGCAAAGCCAGAACAGAGGTGCTAACGTCGGCCGACAAGAAAAGGGGTGCCAAAAAATTGAGGAGAAATTTTGGGGGCGATTGTTTATGTTTTCAACAGTAAAAAAATCAATCAAAACTCAAATTTAACTCAACTTTAACTCAAACCCATTATCTCCCACATTATCAATATATATAAGTAAATAATATCAACCCATCATTCTTACACATCACATTAATGTTAATTCACTATTTATCCACTCACATAATTTTAACTAACCATCATTTTCAATTATTTTTCTCTTAGTTTACATCTAATCACCTTTAATTATTTTATTTAAATATTATTTTAATATATCCACTAACAACTAACCATACCGTTTTTTTTCAAAATTAATTATAGTTAAAAAAAACCAAATAAAAACTAGTTAGAATCTATAAACAATCACCCCTTTAACTCTTAAAAACATCTTTTTTTTTTTTAAAAAAAAAAATTATTATTTTCAACTCATAAATTTTTAACAACTTAATCAAGCACTACATACTCTTGACAAACTAAAAGATTTGTCATTTTACTATCTCTAAATTATTTTTCACGACTTCTTTTCCTTTGGGCGGAACAAAAACTTCAAAACTTTCACACCAAGGTTTCATGTATATTTAGTGGTAGCCTATTTTAGAAATATATCTTACATCATCATAGTCAAAACATTTTTTTTTTCTATAAATAGGTAATTAGTATTGAAGCCATCACACCACTTCCATAGACATATCAACTAACATAAACATCTGTAGAGAGAGAGAGAGAGAGAGAGAGAGAGAGAGAGAGAGAGAGAGAGAGAGAGAGAGAGAGAGAGAGTGAGTGAGTAATTGTGAAAGTATCTTGTCTATGGAATCCTCATTCAAAAACTTAATGTCGATCCAATCCTTAGTTAGCGAGGTTAAAAAAGAAATCTTGTGCTCCGGCGATTATGATACGGCTTGGCTTGCGAAGATCCCACACCGGGAAAATGGAAATGGTCAAAAGTTCCAGAATTGCCTGAATTGGATTGTTAAGAGCCAGAAAGAGGGAAGGTTTTGGGGAGAAACCGAAGAAGACGATAACCGACTGATCTCCATTGATGTTTCGCCTGCAACTCATGCTTGCTTAGTGGCTCTCAAATCATGGAACGCTAGCCAAAATCATAACTCTATTGAGAAAGGTAACGAAATATGTTCAAGATGGATTGCAGAAAATTAAATGTGTACCAATCAAATGTTACTTGACCTTTTTAATAACACATACTTAATTAAATACATGAATAGTTTGCTTGGGGCCTTCTCAACATTTTTTTTTATTTAGTATAAATTTATCAAATCTATAAGAGGCAAATATAGTAAAATATTACGTTATTGAATGCTCGATAAACTTTATTTAATATACATTTAATTTTTATTTTTATATATTTAAAATCAATATTGAACAAAGATCTTGAAATTAAATTTGAATTAATTTGATATATATATATATGTATACTAGTACAACACCCGTGTATTACACGGGTGCTTGCTAATTTTTTTTCTTAAAATCTAAAATTAATGAAAAAAAGTAGTTTGAAAATTTAAATACTTTTTATAAGAATATA